ACCGTGAAAATTTTGGCAGGGAGACTATTATCTTCGAAATCATAAAAGCCAGGAATTTGAAATTTTGCGGTAATATCCTTTGCCCAAATGCCACTTTGTAAATTTAAATTCAGCCTTCCCTCGCGACCGGGCACTAAAAAGTTTCGGCGGGGAAAATTATTGTCTCGGGAACCGTGAACGTTGGAAATCTAAATTTTAAGGCGATTTCAACTTATGACCCCCGCAAATTTGGATTCAGCCTTAATGCCCCGTGAGTGCCACGTACGGCACCATGGATGTTTTAATAGAGAAATTATTATCTCATGGACTACAAAAGCTAGGAAGCTGAAATTTTACGGTGATGTCTCCCATCCTCCTCCCTACGTCTGGCATCGCGTATGGTCCCCTGAAGATTTTGGCGGGAGAAATTATTATCTCGGGAATCATGAAGGAAAGGAAGCCGAAATTCTGGGGTATCGTCCTCTGCCCACGCATGACTCCGCAAATTCAAATTCATTTTTCACGCACGCTTGGGTCTCAAGGTTCCCATGAAAGTTTTGTTGAGAAACCATTACTTCGGGAGCCAGAAAATTTCAGGAGGAAGTTTTCTGCCTAAAAACTCCATAAGTTCGAATTCAGTTTCTAAATATGTCGTGTTCTCACGTACCACCTGTAATTATTGTCGCAAAAATCACTCGATAGTCAGAAAATTTCAGAAAGACATTCACCCTTCAAGGTTTAAAATTCAGTTTTCACGCAACGGTGCGTGAAATTTTCAGTGGGAAGTTTCCACAACTTGGAAACCAGACAACGTTTCAATAATTTTTGCAGCGACCAAAGTGCAAACAGTGAAAATCTTTAGCAGACAAACGTTCGCTGGACTGCGCAAAATGCTTGAACGCACCGGCCGCCCTTGTACGTGTCGCTACAGCGATGAAATTGTTCCGAAATTCATCTGCGCAACTTTTTGTGTATAATTTTTGCCGAATTTTGCAGCCATCTGAAATGATGCCATTGGGCTATCACATCGATGGCTTGCCAGAATCATCGGGAGCACATGCTGAAACCGATTACGGTCATACCGCTGAAGAAGCAGCAGAAACTGATCGAATCATCAAAGACGGCGTTACTTTTATGATGCAAAACTAACTCTGTATTGCAGACTAATTCTTTTTGTCGAGTGCAACATGTTTGTCTGATCAAAAATTCTAATTCCTGAATTGCTAGAGCTACAAATCTCAAATTTTAATGCAGTACCTTTCAACACCGTTCGGAATAACGATCTCACTTTCCTCTATTGTAGTAACCCGTTAACTCACGCTCAAGTGTAGGATAGGATCGTAACTTAAGACTGAAGCAAGCTATGAATCGGGAATTTCGGCTCATTTGACGCAGCGAGTAAGTTTAAAGAAAAATCGCTGTAAATTGGCCGAGCTTGACAATTTTAGTGATCAGGATGAAGCCAGTTTCGCTATGTTTTGCAAATGCTACTGCGAACACGCAGTAACTTGCGTGACGTGCAGGCGTACCAATAATTGCATTCATTTTAGCTAGTTTAGGAATTTTGTTGATTCTCGCATTTTTCCGTTTGAAGAAAAAGATGTGAAAGTGCCGCTCCACGTTACGCTTGTATACAGCACTGATTTTCTAAAATAGCTTCTGAATTATTTCCAAGGAAAAACAATTGTAATTCGCCGTTTTAAAAGATGTTACTCGTTAAATTTGTTTCACTTACAGAAGGAAGAAACCCTAGATGGCGAACTGGGAGATTTTTTGGCGGTTGATGCTGAATCATCCGATAATGGTGACGAAGATAACGAAATGCTAGACGAGGTATTATGGCATGATACTTAACACATGTGAATCAAACGTAGGCGTAAGCTGCAATGGTGCGGTCAGACTTTTTTAGGTTTTTAGAATCTTTTCATATTGAACAGTTCTGTAGATATCTAGAGGAATGCTCTTAAAACTATTCATTTGATAACAAACTGCGGAAAATGTATTTGGTTTTTAAAAATATTTGAAATATTAAATATATTTGTACTGGAAAAACCCGGACAAAAGTAGACGAAAGCAGGCTGTCCGCTTGGTGATGCTACACTGGTCAGAGCAATTAGCTAAACTGTAACCTGTTGAAAAACAAGGCTATGAATTACAGCTGATTCAAGCTTGAGCCAAAAGCTTTTATAAACTACTTCTAGGAGGTAGACCAAACATTCAGCTAGAAGGAAGTTTCACCTTCGGAGGTCACAACTTAACCATCTGTTGGTATAGACACAAGTGATCGAGCAAATGATGCCTAGGAATGCCGGGGTGCCTTAGATGTTTTAGACAGCAAATATATTTTGTGGTTCAGAACTACTAGATCGGGCGGACAATAATTTCCGCAACATTTTTTTCGATAGATGTT